TTTCTCATTTTTTTTGTCGTGTCAGGAGCGATTTGAGAAACTGCAAGTTGCTTCTGGTGTGAGAGAATTGGCCGTCTGCAAGGACGTTGCCCAGGGGACGCCTGGATGATTTGATGTTTTTATCATCCTTATGGGAGGCTTCTCTCATGTCCCCGCATGAGGAGCTGGAGCTGATAGAGGGAGCTCATCCGCCTCTCCCCGGATTCGAACCTGCGACCTGTCGGTCTTCAGTCCTGCCGGCACAAGGGGGCTCCATACAATGTAATAATATGATATTATAATTAAATATTTTATATTACATGTAATATTACTAATAATATTACAATATAATAGTATAGTACAATATATATATAAATCTGTTAGGTTGGTTCAACCGGACAGCAAAACTCACAAACCCCCCAACGAAACTTAACCAAAATTCCCATGCCCATAACACAACCCACAAGGTACAAACATATCTACTCAAAATGAAAAACAACACAACAACACACTCACAAAACGGCAAAACAACAAAACTCAAACCCCCCCAACGAAACTTAACCAAAATTCCCATGCCCATAACACAACCCACAAGGTACAAACATATCTACTCAAAATGAAAAACAACACACTCACAAAACGGTAAAACAACAAAACTCAAAAAACCCCAACGAAACTTAATCAAAATTCCCATGCCCATAACACAACCCACAAGGTACAAACATATCTACTCAAAATGAAAAACAACACAACAACACACTCACAAAACGGCAAAACAACAAAACTCAAAAAACCCCAACGAAACTTAACCAAAATTCCCATGCCCATAACACAACCCACAAGGTACAAATATATCTACTCAAAATGAAAAACAACACAACAACACACTCACAAAACGGCAAAACAACAAAACTCAAAACCCCAACGAAACTTAACCAAAATTCCCATGCCCATAACACAACCCACAAGGTACAAACATATCTACTCAAAATGAAAAACAACACAACAACACACTCACAAAACGGCAAAAAAACAAAACTCAAAACCCCCAACGAAACTTAACCAAAATTCCCATGCCCATAACACAACCCACAAGGTACAAACCTATCTACTCAAAATGAAAAACAACACAACAACACACTCACAAAACGGTAAAACAACAAAACTCAAAAAACCCCAACGAAACTTAACCAAAATTCCCATGCCCATAACACAACCCACAAGGTACAAACATATCTACTCAAAATGAAAAACAACACAACAACACACTCACAAAACGGCAAAACAACAAAACTCAAAAAAACCCAACGAAACTTAACCAAAATTCCCATGCCCATAACACAACCCACAAGGTACAAACATATCTACTCAAAATGAAAAACAACACAACAACACACTCACAAAACGGCAAAACAACTGAGCATGCGCATTGGTGCCCAGCCGCAAGTTCCCTGGCACGCGCACACAGTCTTCCGGCCAACGTTCCCTCTGCGGAAGCCATGCCCACTCCAAGCCCCACCGCGCCGCCGCACACACACCCCCCCGCCGCCGCACACACACACGCAACCCCACCCTCCATCACTCCCCCCGCCGTCGCACACACACACGCAACCCCACGCTCCATCACTCCCCCGCCACCGCACACACACACAACACCCCCCGCCGCACGCACACACACAACCCCCATGCTCCATCACTCCCCCCGCCACCGCACACACACACGCAACCCCACGCTCCATCACTCCCCCCGCCGCCGCAACCCCACACTCCATCACTCCCCCCGCCGCCGCACACACACACGCAACCCCACTCCCCCGCCGCCGCACACACACACGCAACCCCACACTCCATCACTTCCCCCGCTGCCGCACACACACACGCAACCCCACTCCCCCCGCCGCCGCACACACACACAACCCCACGCTCCATCACCCCCCCCGCCGCCGCACACCACTCCCCCCCCCCGCCCCCACACACACACGCAACCCCACGCTCCATCACTCCCCCCGCCGCCGCACACACACGCAACCCCACGCTCCATCACTCCCTCCGCCGCCGCACACACACACGCAACCCCACGCTCCATCCCTCCCCCCGCCGCACACACACGCAACCCCCACTCCCCCCGCCGCCGCACACACACACGCAACCCCACGCTCCATCACTCCCCCCGCCGCCGCACACACACACAACCCCACGCTCCATCACCCCCCCGCCCCACACACACGCAACCCCACGCTCCACCCCCCCGCCGCACGCACACACACAACCCCACGCTCCATCACTCCCCTGCCCCAATCTTACCTCCTTTTACTTCACGCCACCTCCAAACCCCACCCCCCCCCTTCCCTGCACAAATCATTCTAACGATATTCTCGGCAGGAAGTTGCCTGGTGGAGTCTGTCATCAGCCGTCTAATGTTGATTGCTGCTGCACAGAACTTGGCAACACTGTAGGTTGTCGCAGAGCAAGAGTCCGAGAGCAACAGGGAGGTGTAATATCTTTCAGTGCGCCCTGGATGTTTTAAAAGCCATGGAGTGATGAAATGAGCTCTAATGTCTCTATAGAACACACATTGGAGGAGCACATGTTCAGTTGTTCCGTAGACACCTCCAAGGTCATGTGGCCGGCATGACTGCATGGAGCGCCGTTACCTTCCCGCCGGAGCGATCACATTTGCATGTTTTCGAACTGCTAGGTTGGCAGAAGCTAGGGCTGACAGCGGAAGCTCACACCGCTCCCCGGAATTGAACCTGCGACCTTTCGATCAACAAGCTCAGCAGCTCAGTGCTTTAACCCACTGTGCCACCGGGGGCTCCCCAATGATATAATACCATTATTATTATATATTCTTATATTATTTTTATGATATCATTTTGTATTGTAATATATCATTGTATTATAATGTCATATATCATAATATAATTATATTAGTATTAGTATTTCTGATTATAATATAATACTTTTTATTATATTCTTTTATAATTGAATATATTATTATATATTATTTTATTATGCATTTTGACTGCACCCTCAACTTGCTTCAGACACGATAAATCAATAAGTAAATATATTTAATCCTGGGGATGTCAGTTGGAACCTTCAGGGAGGAGCCATGGAGACCATTCTGATGCGTTGCTGACATTCCAGGGAAAGGCTGTTGGCCATGGAATCTCACTGCTGACCGTTGGCGAGAGAGACAGGAGGTGGCTCTTGTGTCTTGCTGTCCTTCGGGGTTTTTGGCTTGTGCTTCCCTTTGGAATTCAGGTCTGGTTTGTTTTTTTATATATATATCTGTGAAATGACTCTAAAATTACAACAGCACCACAACAGAGAGGAAACAAACAAGGAACGATCTTGACAGATTAGAGAGATGAATGGCCAAAACTAACAAAATGAAGTTCAACAGGGACAAATGCAGGATACTCCACTTTGGCAGGAAAAACGAAATGCAAAGATACAGAATGGGGGACGATGCCTGGCTCGAGAGCAGTACGTGTGAAAAAGATCTTGGAGTCCTCGTGGACAACAAGTTAAACATGAGCCAACAATGTGATATGGCGGCAAAAAACGCCAATTGGATTTTGGCCTCTATAGTGTCTAGATCTAGGGAAGTAATGCTACCCCTCTATTCCTCTTTGGTTAGACTACACCTGGAATATTGTGTCCAATTCTGGGCACCATAATTGGAGAGAGATATTGACAAGCTGGAATGTGTCCAGAGGAGGGCAACTAAAATGATCAAGGGTCTGGAGAACAAGCCCTATGAGGAGCGGCTTAAGGAGCTGGGCATGTTTAGCCTGAAGAAGAGAAGGCTGAGAGGAAACATGATAGCCATTAGGCTTGTTTGATCAAGAAAAATATTGGTTCTAAACTCGCTTTGTTTCCAGGGGACGCCAGCGTTTCGAATTTCTGAGGACTTCCGAAATTTAAGATTTCGAAATTTCGAAATTTACGAAATCTCGTTAATTACAAATCGATTCGTTAATGGCGATTGCGCAATGCGCTAAAAACACCTCCAAACGGGACAGGGGGAATTTCTGAAATTCAGGATGAAATTAAAATACATTAAGTTAGTAAAAATACAAATTAAAATCACTTAAAATTAACAAAATAATAAAATAAAATAATAAAATAATAATATAATATAATATAATATAATATAATATAATATAATAGTAAAATAAGTAATAAGATAATAAAATATCTCCAGGAGGAGGAGGAGGAGGATGGGGAGGAAAGGCAACGCTGGAACCTTTTCTCTCCTTCTTTGCCGTCGAAATAATTACGAAATAATTACGAAAATTTGGAAAAATTGTTTCGATTCTTAATTACTCTTCACACTATTCCTGCATGGCTCGATATTGGATCGTGAGCTAATTTAAATACGAATTAATAACGACTTTAGAAACTAACGAACACGATCAAACAAGCCTAATAGCCATGTATAGCCACAGGGAGGAGGGTGCAAGCTTGTTTTCTGCTTCCTTGGAGACTAGGACGCGGAACAATGGCTTCAAACTACAAGAGAGGAGATCCCATCTGAACATGAGGAAGAACTTTCTGACTGTGAGAGCCGTTCAGCAGTGGAACTCTCTGCCCCGGAGTGTGGTGGAGGCTCCTTCTTTAGAAGCACCTAATCACCTCTTAACAAAAGTTTGCTCTAGGCACTGTCAGGCCATTATATGTTAATCAAGGTGGTCAGTTGAAACATTCACACCTAGCTCCAGCAGACAAGAGTCCTTTGTCCCACCCTGCTCATTTCCTAGTTCCAACAGACCTCACTACCTCTGAGGATGCTTGCCATAGATGCAGGCGAAACGTCAGGAGAGAATGCCTCTAGACCATAGCCATATAGCCCGAAAAAACCTACAACAACCCAGTGATTCCGGCCATGAAAGCCTTCGACAATACATTTTCTTGCAATTGATTTGTAGATAGATGGTGAATTATACTGAACTTTCAAAAAATATCCTACAAATTAAGCCTGTGCTTCTTTGTGTCTCATTGTATTTCCTCAGGTTAGATCGTGGCTGAACCAGGAGCAGTCCTTCCATACAAAACTTCTCATCTTCTTAAATCCTATCACCACACCATCAGGTAAGCCAAATGCAAAACTGGAAATAAAATACCTTTTTTCCCTTGGGATTTCAGTGCTAAGACTTTGTTAGTTTGAAGAGAAAAAGTAATGATCATCTCGGAAAGTGCTATTTTTATTAAGAACAAACACCCATCTATCTATATAAAAATGCTCTGTGCATAATGAGTACCTTAAAAACAAAAGAACCAATGAACGAAATCACACCAAATTTGGCAACAAAACATCTCACAACACAAGGAGTGACCATCACTCAAAAAATTATGATTTTGTCATTTGGGAGTTGTAGTTGCTGGGATTTATAGTTCACCTACAATCAAAGGAATGCGAAAGACTGCTCCAACTTCCGTACAGTGGCCCTTATTTCTCATCATGCCAGTAAGGTAATGCTCAAGATCCTGCAAGGAAGACTCCAGCAAGACATGGAGCGAGAGTTGCCAGATGTTCAAGCTGGGTTTAGAAAAGGCAGAGGAACGAGAGACCAGATTGCCAATATCCGGATGCTGGAGAATGGAGAAAGGCAGGGAGTTTCAGAAAAACATCTACTTCTGCTTCATTGACTACTCTAAAGCCTTTGACTGTGTGGATCATCATAAATTGTGGCAAGTTCTTGGTGGGATGGGCATCCCAAGCCCCCTTCCCTCTCTCCTGAGGAATCTGTACAAGGACCAAGGAGCAACAGTCAGAACTGACCACGGAGGAACAGACTGGTTCAAGATTGGGAAAGGCGTACGGCAAGGCTGCATCCTCTCACCCAACCTTGTTAACTTGTATGCAGAACACATCATGCGAGGATGTGCGGGGCTGGATGAATGCAAAGCTGGGGTGAAAATTGCTTTGTATTTCTATTCGCAAAGATTACTGCAGATGCAGACTGTGGCCAGGAAATCAGAAGACGCTTCCTTCTTGGGAGGAGAGCAATGTCCAGTCTCGATAAAATAGTAAAGAGCAGAGACATCAAACTGGCAACCAAGATCCATTGCCTAGTCCAAGTCATGGTCTTCCCTGTAGTCACCTACGGATGTGAGAGCTGGACCTTAGGGAAGGCTGAGCGAAGGAAGAGAGATGCTTTTGAGCTGTGGTGTTGGAGGAAAGTTCTGAGAGTGCCTTGGACTGCGAGAAGATCCAACCAGTCCATCCTCCAGGAAATAAAGCCCGGCTGCTCACTGGAGGGAAGGAGACTAGAGACAAAGCTGAAGTCCTTTGAATGCCACATCATGAGGAGACAGCAAAGCCTAGAGAAGACAATGATGCTGGGGAAAGTGGAAGGCAAAAGGAAGAGGGGCCGACCAAGGGCAAGATGGATGGATGGCATCCTTGAAGTGACTGGACTGACCTTGAAGGAGCTGGGGGTGGTGACGGCTGACAAGGAGCTCTGGCGTGGACTGGTCCTGAACGACTGAACGAATGAACAACAACAACAACACAATCAAAGAGCATTCTGAACTCTACCAATGATAGAATTGAACCAAACTTGGCACACAGAACTCCCATGACCAACAGAAAATATTGGAAGGGTTTGGTGGGCATTAACCTTGAGTTTGGGAATTATAGTTCACCTACATCCAGAGAGCACTGTGGACTCAAACAATGATGGATCTGGACCAAACTTGGCACAAGCACACAATACGGCCAAATATGAACACAGATGGCATTTGGGGGAAATAGACCTTGACATTTGAGAGTTGTAGTCACTGGGATTCACAGTTCACCTACAATCAAAAAGCATTCTGAACCCCACGAACGACAGAATCGGGGCAAACTCCCCACACTGAACTCCCATGACCATCAGAAAATACTTAAGGCCATCCAGTCCAACTCTGTTCAACGGGGCAAGAAAACGTCGTCAAAGTCCTCCTGACAAAGAGCCATCCGGACATAGATATAGATAGGTCGAGGTCCTGAACCGGTGCCTGGCCGCTGTAACGGTCTGAAATTAAATCCAGACAAGACAGAGGTACTCCTGGTCAGTCGCAAGGCCGAACGGGGTATAGGGTTACAGCCTGTGCTGGATGGGGTCGCACTCCCCTTGAAGGCGCAGGTTCGCAGCTTGGGTGTGACCCTGGATTCATCGTTGAGCCTGGATCCCCAGGTTTCAGCGGTGACCATGGGAGCATTTGCACAGCTTCGGCTCGTGCGCCAGCTGCGCCCGTATCTCGGGAAGTCTGACTTGGCCACGGTGGTACACGCTCTGGTCACATCCCGGCTTGACTACTGCAACGCTCTCTACGTGGGGCTGCCCTTGAAGACGGCCCGGAAGCTTCAGCTAGTCCAGCGCGCGGCAGCCATGTTACTAACAGGAGCGGGACGCAGGGAGCACACAACGCCCTTGTTGTTCCAGCTCCACTGGCTGCCGATCTGCTACCGGGCCCAATTCAAGGTGCTGGTGTTGGCCTACAAAGCCCTAAACGGTTCCGGCCCAAAATACCTCTCTGACCGCATCTCGGCCTATGAGCCCACGAGGACCTTGAGATCGTCTGGGGAGGCCCTTCTCTCGATCCCGCTTGCCTCACAGGCACGCCTGGCGGGGACGAGGGATAGGGCCTTCTCGGTGGTGGCCCCCCGGCTGTGGAACGCCCTCCCTGTGGACATCAGACAGGCGCCCTCCCTTATGTCATTCCGCAAGAGCTTAAAGACATGGCTATTCGAGCAGGCGTTCAATTAAGTATTACAACAATTGACAATACGACTGGAACGGAATATGGAATACGAGATTGGTTTATGATTCTACGCTGAGACGACGCGGATGATTTAGAGTAATTATTGTTGTATTATTGATGTTAAGTGTAGATTGTGTTGTATGAGGGTTATATTGTAAACTGTTTTTATATGTTGTACACCGCCGTGAGTCGCCCGAAAGGGCTGAGAACGGCGGTCAACAAATGCAATAAATAAATAAATAAATAAATAAAATAGATGATGATGATGATAGATAGATAGATAGATAGATAGATAGATAGATAGATAGATAGGGAGTTGTAGTTGCTGGGATTTATAGTTCACCTACAATCAAATAGCATGATATAATTGAACCAACCGGGGCATACAGGACTCCCATGACCAACAGAAAACACTAGAAGAGTTTGGTGGTTATTGACATTGAGTTTGGGAGTTGTAGTTCACCTACATCCAGAGAGCACTGTGGACTCAAACAATGATGGATCTGGACCAAACTTGGCATAAATATTCCATATGCCCAAATATGAACACAGATGGAGTTTGGGGGAAATAGACCTTGACATTTGGGATTTGTAGTTACTGGGAGATTTATAGTTCACTACAATTAAAGAGCATTCTGAACCCCACCAACGACAGAATTGGGGCAAACTTCCCACACAGAACCCCCGTGACCAACAGAAAGATGCAAGGTCTTGACACTGGGGACTTCCAATAGATCTTGGTCCTCAGAACGGAGGGTTCTCTGGGGTTGGGAGGGGGTGAGGCGGTCCCTCAGGTACATCGGCCCCAGACCATGCAAGGCCTTGAAGGTGAGTACCATCACTTTGAAAGTGATCCGGTGCTCAATTGGTAACCAATGCAGCTGTAGTAAGATTGGTGTTATGTGGCATCTCATCGGAATTCCCGCAAGAAGCCGAGCAGCTGCGTTTTGTACCAACTTGAGCTTCTGGATCACCGACAGAGGAAGGCCAATGTAGAGGGCGTTACAGTAGTCCAGTCTTGAGATGACCGTGGCCTGGATCACCGTAGCTAGGTCGTCCCTGGACAGGGAGGGGGCCAGCCGTCTAGCCTGCCGCAGATGAAAGAAGGCGGTTCTGCTCACGGCGGAGACCTGGGCCTCCATCGTCAGCAGAGGTCCAAAAGGACTCCCAGACTCTTTACCAATGATGACGGGCGTAGCGCCTCGCCATCCAGGGTAGGCAGCTGAATATCCCCACTGCCCGGGTGACCCAGCCATAGGATCTCCGTCTTTGCTGGATTCACCCTCAACCTGCTGGCACGCAGCCATCCAGTAACGGCCTCGAGGCACTGATGGAAACAATCGGGTACAGAGTCCGGTCGGCCTTCCATCTTCAGCACCAGCTGAGTGTCATCGGCGTACTGATAACACTCAAGCCCAAAACCTCGAACCAGCTGAGCAAGTGGTCGCATATAGATGTTAAACAACAGAGGGGAGAGAATGGCCCCCTGAGGAACCCCACAAGAGAGAGGGACCTCTCAGAGACCAGGCCTCCCCTCTCCACTCGCTGTCCATGGTTGTGAAAAAAGGAGGACAGCCAGTTTAAAGCTCTCCCCCTGACTCCAGCAACAGCAAGGCGGTGGGTCAAAAGATTGTGGTCGACTGTGTCAAATGCTGCTGTGAGATCCAATAACACAAGCAGCGCTGACCCGCCCTGGTCAAGCTGGCATCGAAGGTGATCCGTGATGGAGACCAGCACAGTCTCTGTCCTGTGCCCCGCACGGAAGCCGGACTGGAAGGGATCTAGTCCGGCTGCGTCGTCTAGGAATTGCTGCAACTGCTCCGCTGCTGCCCTCTCAATCATCTTGCCCAGGAAAGAGAGATTCGAAACTGGGCGGTAACTGGAGGGAACCGAAGGATCTAAATCTGGTTTCTTCAGCAGGGGAGAGACCACCGCCTCTTTTGAACCCTCTGGAAAAACTCCTTGCTCAAGGGAGCTGTTTATGATCTTCAACAGAGGGTCGTAATCCCTCCAAGCAGGATTTCACCAACCAAGAGGGACACGGATCGAGGGAGCAAGTGGTCAGGTCTAGCTGCAGCTATGAGCCTATCGACAGCCTCTGTGTCCAGCGGGATGAACCGGTCGAGGATGGGCCCAGCAAGTGGCCACGGAGTCTCAAGTTCTCTCACTGTATCAATTGTGGCGGGGAGATCCCGGCGAAGTAGCGAGATCTTGTCTGCAAAATAGCTGTGAAAATCCTCGGCTGAAGGGGCCTGATCACCACTTTTGGGGACGGTAGGAACCGTCGTTAGAGATCGAATTATTTTGAACAATTTTGCCGGGAGTGAGCTAGCAGACGCTATCAAAGAAGCATAATATACTACACGAAAACTCCAACCATCACCCAAGTCAAAAAAGAAGCACCATTAAAGCCTTGGCAGACCGCGCAAAAAGAATCTGCGAAGCCCACCTCCTCCAAGATGAACTGAACCACCTCAACTGGGCTCTCCAGGCCAATGGAGACTCCACCTCAGACATCAGAAGAGCTGCAAGACAACCGAGAACAAGCCACGAGAGTCAAGATGAAGATCCACCCAGAGGAAAAGTGTTCCTGCCATACATCAAGGGAACCACTGACCGCATAGGGAAGCTGATGAGGAAACACAACATACAAACAATCTACAAACCCACCAAGAAAATCCAACAAATGCTACGTTCAGCAAAGGACAAGAGGGATCCTCTCACTTCTGCAGGAGTCTACCGTATACCATGCAGCTGTGGACAAGTCTACATAGGGACCACCAAATGCAGCAGCATTGCTCAAACACGCATCAAGGAACATGAAAGGCACTGCAGACTACTCCAACCAGAGAAATCAGCCATAGCAGAGCACCTGATGAACCAGCCTGGACACAGCATATTATTTGAGAACACAGAAATGCTGGACCACACCAACAACCACCATGTCAGACTACACAGAGAAGCTATTGAAATCCACAAGCATGTGGACAATTTCAACAGAAAGGAAGAGACCATGAAAATGAACAAAATCTGGCTACCAGTATTAAAAAACTCTAAAATTACAACAGCAAAACAGCAGAGAGGAAACAACCAGGCACATCTTAACACCTCTCAACAGAAGATTTTCCCAGGCTCAGCCAGGCCTTCAAATGCTAATGAAGGTGGTCAGTTGAAACATTCACACCTAGCTCCAGCAGAGAAGAGATCTTTGCCCCACCCCAGTCATTCCACAGATATATAAACCCATTGTCCTAGTTCCAACAGACCTCACTACCTCTGAGGATGCTTGCCATAGATGCAGGCGAAACGTCAGGAGAAATGCCTCTAGAATAGGGCTGGGAGGTTTCGTTCGTTAATTTCGTAATTCGTTATTAATTCGTTATTTTTTTTATAACGAAGCGATATTGAACCATTCAGGAGCAACTAAAAAACGAAACGAATTTTTCCAATTAGTTTTGTAATTGTTTCGAAATTGTTTCGTAATTATTTCGTTATTATTTCGTTATTATTTCCGTATGTCTGGTGCAAGTTTTATAGTTGTTGTTTGTTTTATCAGTGATAAATGATCACACCAACAGTCAACAACAGAGGGAGAGGGAAGCTTCAGAAGTTCCCCCTGTCCCATTTGGAGGGTTTTTTAGCGTATTGCGCAATCGCGTCTGCCATTAACGAATCGATTCGTTATTGTTTCGAAATTGTTTCGTAATTTCCGAAATTTCGTAAATATCGAACTTTTTTAAAGAAAAATTTTGGAAGCCCTATGAGGAGCGGCTTAAGGAGCTGGGCATGTTTAGCCTGAAGAAGAGAAGGCTGAGAGGGGATATGATAGCCATGTATAAATATGTGAGAGGAAGCCACAGGGAGGAGGGAGCAAGCTTGTTTTCTGCTTCCTTGGAGACTAGGACGCGGAACAATGGCTTCAAACTACAAGAGAGGAGATTCCATCTGAACATGAGGAAGAACTTCCTGACTGTGAGAGCCGTTCAGCAGTGGAACTCTCTGCCCCGGAGTGTGGTGGAGGCTCCTTCTTTGGAAGCTTTTAAACAGAGGCTGGATGGCCATCTGTCAGGGGTGATTTGAATGCAACCTTCCTGCTTCTTGGCAGAATGGGGTTGGACTGGATGGCCCATGAGGTCTCTTCCAACTCTTTGATTCTATGATTCTATGATTCTATAAATAACGAAACGCAAAAACCGCCTAAAAACGAATCGAGTTTAGAAACAAATTTTTCCGTGGTTGGACAGCCCTACTCTAGAACATGGCCCTATAGCCCGAAAAAAACCCACAAGAACCTGATGAGGGGTTAGTTAACAATTTGAGCCTTGGGTATTGTTAGATGCAATGTCGGGAGTCATGGCTGGGGGTTCACGGGTGGGAAGAGCGAGGCGGGATTGGGTGGGAAAGGTGTGTGCTTTAATGGAGGATATTTCGAAAATTGTATAGTTCTTTGTTTTAATTCATATAACACTTGCTAAGTCTGTTCTTGTTGTTCTTACAGCCATGCCACGCTGGAGACTCCCGTTTCAGAGGCCCCATCGTGTTGCAGACATTCAAACGGAGGAGGAAAAGCTTCTACTAAGTATTCCACGAAAGCGTAGAAGCTTCTGGAAGAGGGTAAAGAGTTTATTCTCTTGTATCTCGGCCGAAAGGAGGGCTGTGGTGCGCCCCCAGAAGGGCCAGAGGGGGAGGCTGGCTAGTCGCATTCCATCTCTCGAGACCATCTTCGAGGAGGAAGAGGAGGAAGTGGTCCTGGAGGAGCTGGCCAGTCTGCCTCCAGACGTCCCCACCGACGGGGAGGAGGAAGACAAAGAAGAAGAAGAGGAGGAAGAGGAAGAGGAAGTAGAGGAGGAACAACGAGAAGAGAAGGAAGAAGAGAAAGAGAAGGGAGAAGAAGAGGAGGAGGAGGAGGAGGAAGAGGAACAGCTTAGCCACTTTTATCATTTTGTTTTAAATATGCTTGACATTTGAAAACATTTTTTAAAAATTACAAAAAAGAAGTGGAGGAGGAAGGACTTCCGGTTGGTTGAGACCCTCCTGTAGCAAATTTGTGCGTTGGCAGCTCTAGCAGTGCTTCAGTCCTGACTCAAGAAGGCTTCTTGACTCAAACCATTGTGCATTGTGGATGACGTGTCTCTCAGGGCTCTGAGAGACAGCTGAGACATGTGAGTCTGGGTGCACAATAACCCCCTCCTTTGAAAGACGGTCAGAGGTCTAGGAGGTAAGACCCTCATGGTGCGACCGGCCGACGGTGTCAGAAGGGGCACCCCCCCAAGGAGGTGCCTCCAAAATGCCCGGCAATGGCGCACAAAGAGGGAAGACCCGTGTCCACAGCAAGGAAGCCATTGGCCTCCAATACCCCCACCGCCACCAGCACAAAACAAAGATGATTTGCTAGAACAAAACCAGAATTTGTGACAAAGCAACTGCCCCCTGAGAATACACCAGCTGATTATCGGAGGCAAGCAACATCCATGAAACACGCCACCGGAAAGGGAATTACAAGAAATTAAAGGAAAATCAAAGAAAAGTTTGCTAAGGCGAGGCAGGCCCGCCGGGTCGAGGGACGACGCCTTCCGACGGCTTATTCTTTCGAAACCGTTTCCGAGCCACAGGAAGGAAGTTGGAATTCAACATCATATGGAAGAACTACAAGTTTCCCATCACCTGCTCTAGAAACTGTTCACTTCTTCAGTTGCTAAATGTTTTCTTATTTAACATGTCCTTTTAATCCTCACAATCCAGTTTTTCAAAGTTTTTAAAAGTTTTTAAAAGTTTTTCAAAGCTTTTCAAAGTTTTTTAAAGTTTTTTAAAAGTTTTTTAAAAGTTCTTTAAAGTTTTTTAAAGTGTTTTAAAGGAGCAGTTGCTCCTGACACAACAAAAAAAAGTTTTTTTAAAGTAGCATATACAGTTGTTTACAGTTGTCAAATGTTTAAACTAATTATTTTTAGAATAGCAAATACTTATATTTTTAAAATATATTTCTACTGTAAAGTATGTGTTGGTTGATGCAAGACTTGAAATAGGTTTCAGGCTAAATTAGCGTGAATATGTTTTCCTTATTTTAATAGAATTTTAATAGAATGTGCTGATGTTTTAAACTACAATGACACTGAAACCTTGTTATGGCCAAGCAATGTTTCGAACAATTTTCCTCATATGCTGTAATGCAGACGAACAGGAGTTACTCAACCTCCCCCAACAAGGAGGTTCCAAACAATCCCATCTGGCAGGAAGAGCCAACATTGGCTGAACTCCCAAAAACCAGGAGCTTCCGAAGACCAGCAGATACGAAAAGCTTGAGAAAAAATACCAATGTCCTGACTGTGACTATCGGGCTGATTATCGCTCTGATCTGGAGAGACACCAGAATCGACACAAGTATAGCAATCCCTACAGATGCCAGACCTGTGGCAAAACCTTTGTGAAGAAGTCAGCCCTCAACAACCACTACAAAAAAAATCCCGTTGTGTCGGGGAAACGCTGCAAAGAGAATCCCAATAGGCCCAGGAGATAAAAAACACACCTGTCCCAAGTGCGGACAGAAGACCTACAAATTATCGACCCTTCTCGTCCATATGAGAACCCACGGGGGTGAGAATCCATACAGATGCCAGCAGTGCGGACAGACCTTCAGCTTCCACACAGATCTCATGAGGCATGAGGCACTCGCACACAAGTTGGAAAGCAGCTCCAGTAGCAGAAAACCATCTATCTTCAAACATATGAATACACATAAAAACAACACAAAACCAACACAAGCGGATGAAGAGAATCCACTTCCAAACAACAACATCCAGCAGGATGCTCCTGTCATAGCGATGATCCGGGAGCGATGGTGTTATGACAAGCTGCTGCTGCTAGAGAATCCATGGCTCACCCGGCAGGAATGTCAGACTTGATGGGGCACCTACAGCAGACCCCCATGCTTCAACCGCGGGCAGCTCCTGTCTCCGTTGCTGAATGCGTCATCACACTTACCGACAAAGAGGAGTTAATCAACCTCCTCCAACAAGAAGGTTCCAAACAATCCAATCTGGCAGGAAAAGCCAACATTGGCCGAACTCCCAAAGACCAGGAGCTTCCAAAAACCAGCAGATACGAAAAGCTTGAGAAAAAAATACCAGTGTCCCGACTGTGACTATCGGGCTTATTATCGTTCTGAACTGGAGAGACACCAGAATTGACACAAGTATAGCAATCCGTACAGATGCCAGACCTGTGGCAAAACCTTTGTGAAGAAGTCAGCCCTCAACAACCACTACAAAAAAAATCCCAGTGTGTCGGGAGAACACTGCAAAGACAATCCCAATAGGCCCAGGAGATAAAAAACACACCTGTCCCAAGTGCGGTTTTTGGCTGAAATCCCAAAAACCAGGAGCTTCCGAAGACCATTAGATACGAAAAGCTTGAGAACAAATACCAGTGTCCCGACTGTGACTGTTGCCTTATTATCGTTCAGAGTTGGAGAGACACCATAATCGACACAAGTATAGCAACCCCTACAGGTACCAGACCTGTGGCAAAACCTTTGTGAAGAAGTCAGCCCTCAACAACCACTACAAAAAAATCCTGTTGTGTCGGGAAAACGCTGCAAAGAGAATCCCAATAGGCCCAGGAGATAAAAAACACACCTGTCCCAAGTGCGGACAGAAGACCTACAAATTATTGACTCTTCTCGTCCATATGAGAACCCACGGGGGCGAGAATCCATACAGATGCCAGCAGTGCGGACAGACCTTCAGCTTCCACACAGATCTCATGAGGCATGAGGCACTCGCACGCAAGTTGGAAAGCAGCTCCAGTAGCAGAAAAGCATCTATCTTCAAACATATGAATAAACATAAAGACAACACATAACCAACATAAGCGGATGAAGAGAATTCACTTCCAAACAACACCGTGGTCATCCAGCAGGATGCTCCTGTCATAGCGATGATCCGGGAGCAATGGTGTTATGACAAGCTGCTGCTGCTGCTGCTGCTGCGAGAGAATCCATGGCTCACCCGGCAGGAATGTCAGCCTTGATGGGGCACCTACAGCAGACCCCCATGCTTCAACTGCGGGCAGCCCCTGTCTCCGTTGCTGAATGTGACATCACACTTACCGACGAAGAGGAGTTAATCAACCTCCTCCAACAAGGAGGCTCCAAACAATCCCATCTGGCAGGAAAAGCCAACATTGGCCAAACTCCCAAAGACCAGGAGCTTCCAAAGACCAGCAGAGACGAAAAGCTTGAGAAAAAATACCAGTGTCCCAACTGTGACCATCGGGCTTATTATCGCTCTGAACTGGAGAGACACCAGAATCGACACAAGTATAGCAATCCCTACAGATGCCAGACCTGTGGCAAAACCGTTGTGAAGAAGTCAGCCCTCAATAACCACTACCAAAAAATCCCGTTGTGTCGGGAAAACACTGCAAAGACAATCCCAATAGGCACAGAAGATAAAAAACACACCTGTCCCAAGTGCGGACACAAGACCTACAAATTATCGACCCTTCTCATCCATATGTGAACCCACGGGGGCGAGAATCCATACAGATGCCAGCAGTGCGGATGGACCTTCAGCTTCCACACAGAGGTATGAGGCACTCGCACGCAAGTTGGAAAGCTGCTTCCGAAGACCAGCAGAGACGAAAAGCTTGAGAAAAAATACCAGTGTCCCAACTGTGACTATCGGGCTTATTATCATTCTGAACTGGAGAGACACCAGAATCGACACAAGTATAGCAATCCCTACAGATGCCAGACTTGTGGCAAAACCTTTGTGAAGAAGTCAGCCCTCAACAACCACTACAAAAAAATCCCGTTGTGTCACTGCAAAGAGAATCCCAATAGGCCCAGGAGATTAAAAACACACCTGTCCCAAGTGTGGACAGAAGACCTACGAATTATCGACGCTTCTCGTCCATATGAGAACACACGGGGGTGAGAATCCATACAGATGCCGGCAGTGCGGACAGACCTTCAGCTTCCACACAGATCTCATGAGGCACTCGCACACAAGTTGGAAAGCAGCTCCAGTAGCAGAAAACCATCTATCTTCAAGCATATGAATAAACATAAAGACAACACAAAACCAACACAAGCAGATGAAGAGAATCCACTTCCAAACAACACTGTGGTCATCCAGCAGGATGCTCCTGTCATAGCGATGATCCGGGAGCGATTGTGTTACGACAAGCAAGAGCAGCAGCTACAGGAGGAGGAAGACGAGGAGGACCCAGACCCGGTGGAAAGACATGAAGAGGCCAATGTAGAAGCCAAGGAGGATGTCTCCGAGAAGAAAGCAGTCTTCCGGACCATTCTGGGGAAGTTTGCCTATTGCAAAACCGAGGAGTCAGATCAGACGGGATCTTCGACCGATGCGGCGGCCTCAGCAGAACCAAAGCCGTCCTACAAATGCCTCATATGTGGCCAAGCCTTTGAGATGAAAATCGACCTCGCTCGAGAGCAGAGAGCGCCAGCCGGATTTTTCTTTGTGGAGCAAGAACTTGTATCACCTGGGCCAGGCCAGACCGAAGCCGCACCCTTGCTGCGATTGTGAGAAGGAGTTCTACTGCAGAGACAACTTGGTGATCCACCTCAAAACGCACGGCTTCGAGAACATCTACGAGTGCGGCGAGTGCGATGAGGTTTTTGTTCAGCAGGATGAGTTGGCGAGGCATAAGAGGAGTCACGCAGTACTAGGGAGCCAAGGGGAGATGAAAGGGAAAGGGAGGACCAGGCAGAACCTTTGGGGGAGCTCCATTGTGGTGCATGGCTCACCTTTTCAAGTCCTTTTTATTTCCACACAAGCCCTGATTGAATTTTGAGTAGAAGCCCACTTCCCTAACCATTATACACTTCTTCGGCGCTATTTGTACATTTATTCTAAGTGATTCCCAAGACTTAGGGGCTGCTGCCAAACTGAGGGACACCCAATGTCAGCACTACTTGGCACTGCACTACTTGGCATTGCCTCTGTTGGTGGTTCCTCCCTCTACCTCATGGGGGGCTTCATCTGTTTGTGGTTCCACCTCAAAGCCCTCTTTGAAGGCAGAAGAACCAAGAGAGCTTCAGGGAGAGGGGCCATTTGGTGACTATACCAACCCCCTGTTTGACTAGTAAATCCAAGTTTCTTGTGTTTTGTTATACTTTTGTGCTGTTGGAAATCCCATTGTCTTGGGTTTTGTTATACTGTTTGGAATGTCCCCAAACATACTTTTTAGCTCTTCGACATCACCCTCGTGCTTTGGAAGGGATTGTTTCGTTTCTTTTAACTGAGATATACCAGGCAATCGCAACTGAGGTTTTAAAGACAGTTCATTGTATATTTTTTTCTTCCCTGCCCTTTTTTCCCCATCTTGTGGGGAAACACTTCTTTCTCTCTCAACTTTGTGAGTTCCCTTTCTTCAGTCTTCCTCCCTCCCTCTACTTCTTTGCTTTTGCCTTGGGTTTATTTTGTTTTTTTACATTGAACATAGGGCTTCTAGGGATTGTTGGATATTAAGATCAGTAGCTATTTATTTACTTATTGGAACTAGGAAAGATAGCAGAAAACTTTGACTACAGGTTCCAGGATCCCACAGCCAGAATGACCACTGGAGATTCTGAGAATAGTAGTCCCACAC